ACAATATTCACGACTAAACATTATCTAGTTATGTGTCAACATGATTCACCAGTAACCAGAAGATCCCCATCCAACTGAATTTAAGGAGAAAAAATAAATTCTTATAAACATTAGACCCGGGTGTCACGACTTCTACCAAGAACGGTACTTTACTAACATTAAGGAAAGCTATGAATGTTAGATCTTTTAATCAGCTGTTTGTCTGTCTGTCTACCTATCAACGTAACTTAATTCTCATTATAATAAGAGAAAGCTGCATCAGGTATCGTAGTTAGAGAAGAATAAATTTAGTTATTATATAAATGGTATATAACTTAAGCTACATTTTGTCCAGATGACTTTTCGAATTTTCATCTCTCTCTCTCTCTCTCTCTCTCTCTCTCTCTCTACTTGTGACTGTTTCCCCATATTTCCCACCTCAGTATCGTAGTCCTCTCAGGTACATTACTTTGATTGGAATGTTGGAGGGAAGGCGTTCATTAATTTGTGGTGGTTGTGGCGACGCTGGTGGTAGTGGTAGTGAGGATAGTGGTAGTGGTGGTAGTGGTAGGGGTTGGGAGGGTGGGGGTGGAAGTGATGGCGGTGACGGTGGTTATGGGGGGGTGGTGTGTGTGTGTGTGTGTTAGGAGGGAAAAGAAAATCGATCCTCCCTGGAACATTTCTCACATTTTCAGTGACGTGTTAAGACTTGTATGCACTAATTAAAAAAAAGGAATCCATTTGTAGAGTAAAATAATAATATTCCCTTCTGCCATTTTAGGATAAAGATATTCCACTATATAATTATAATAACATGGAGACTATATTTGTTCATCTAACTTCTATATACTTGTGTTTGTCCTTATTAGGGAATACATATCGTCAATATAGTGTTAAACAGATAGAAGTCATGCATTAAGGGTCTATTTTCAGTTACTATTACGGTATTAAAGAGGTTCAGGGACCTTTATGTAATGTTACAATAGTTCACAGAAGGGAAGTGTCTACAGCAAGTGTCCAAGGTAGTTATAACCGTGAGAGAGAGGCGGGAGGAAGACGATCTCACATATGTACAGTTGGTATTTGGAGCCTTGTTGTGGGTTAGGAAGTAGGGTTAATAGCGCGCGCACACACACACACACACACACACACACACACACACACACACACACACACACACACAGGGAGAGAAAAACTGTTGTTGTTTTTTATCCCAGTGTTGCCATCAGCAGGTCATGAATATTACATCAGCTGGCAAGATAAACACTTCACCAGGTGACTTGATTCACTTGACACACACCTGGTGGCCACAGGAGGCTTGATACACCACCGGGGGGGATGTTAACAGGTGTACTCTCTCTCTCTCTCTCTCTCTCTCTCTCTCCGACATTAACCCAATAACCAGGGCTAATATTAACGGCATCATCAGCGCCACCCTCACCTACGTTGATGACATTGTCGATAACGGCGCGACAGACCCACTGTAAGGCAGATAAGAGGCGCGTAATCTCAAACTTTTATATTACGATAACGTCAGTCTACCCACACTGACGCAATTAACAACTAGTGATCCTAAACCTTCATATAATAACGGCGGTAAACGAGCAGTAACGTAGAAAGATATGATGAGTCTTGGATCTTTGTAATGATAACGGTGATGGACCAGCAGTAGACGCTAAGTAAATCCTAACGCCGCGTCATCACCAAGCAGAGGAGCAGTAGATGGTATGGTAAAGGAAGGGACAGCCGTGAGCCAAGAATTTCGTAGATCCTTGTGTGTGATGGTTTAACCCCTTTATTATGATGGTTTAAGACATTGAATATTAATGATTTGACCTCTTGTGTGTGATGGTTTAACCCCTTTATTATGATGGTTTAAGACATTGAATATTAATGATTTGACCTCTTGTGTGTGATGGTTTAACCCCTTTATTATGATGGTTTAAGACATTGAATATTAATGATTTGACCTCTTGTGTGTGATGGTTTAACCTATTGAGTATATACGATGACTCTAACACCTTGCAAACGATAAGTTAATCCCATAAGTCATTGTACTGAAAAGGATAGCTAAATATTCTTACACAAGGATTAAGACCTCATACTAAAGGGATCAAATCATGGAGTTAGTAAGATCCTTACACAATCTAAGATGACAAACACACTAATTAAACACATATTAATTCTTGCACTTCAATAACCAGGGAAACCAAACGACCACCTTGCAGAACCCCGAGAACTAACCAACTAACCAATCATACTAACCTAGATAAACAAATATCCCTTATTCTTGAAGGTGAAAAAACAACATCCAGCAGTTAGGTCAGGAAAGGTAGAAACTGAATTGATGAAACGGTAGCCGAGGTGAGGGTGGCGGAGGCGTATAGCAGCAGCTGATCCCCAGGTGAATGGAAAACCTGATTTATGTCAAGGTTACGAGAGTTTTACTGAGGTAATATTTCCTGCCGGCTGCTGCTGTTGATGCTAAAGGTGTTGTGTGAGGACATGTGATGGTGTTATGCTTTACTCTCTCTCTCTCTCTCTCTCTCTCTCTCTCTCTCTCTCTCTCTCTCTCTCCCTCTCTCTTTCTTGTTATTTATATTATCATTATTTTTTTCTTTCATTCACAGTATGTATTTATGTTTATGTGTGCATGAAAAGAATGTGTGTGTGTGTGTGTGTGTGTGTGTGTGTGTGTGTGTGTGTGTGTGTGTGTGTGAGGACAAAAGAGGTTGTCACTGATACACACACAATGGAAGGTCGAGTCTCATATCCTCCTCCTATGTCACTTCCTTGTTTATCTGTGTGTCCATTGTGCTTTATGCTTTATCACCCTCTCTTTCTTTTCGAACTTCCTCTCTTATTATTATTATTATTATCATTCTCTCTCTCTCATTACAATTCTGTTCTTTGTTTCTATTATTACTCGTTTCTCTGTTTTATCATCCATAGACAGAATCATAGACAGAGAACGAAAGAAAAAGTGTGAGACAGCGGCAATGACAGATATATACAAAGACAATAACAGAGGCACAGAAAGAGAGAGAGAGAGACAGACAGAGGAAGACAGAAACCCTAAAAACAACAACAATTAGGAGACAGAAGCCCTGCTCACCCGTCTCCGCCTGGGGTCATCTACAGGTCAGGGAGGGAGGGAGGGAGGGAGGGAGGGAGACAGGGAGGTAGGGAGGCAGAGAGGATATTGGACGGATATGAAGTGGTCTTCCTTCAGGGCCTCGCTAGACCTGACTTGCTGACCCTGCTGCCCTGATAGACTGCTATGCATTTGAAGGGGGGTCACACACACACACACACACACACACACACACACATACATACATATGCGCTTCAAATGTTGATTCCTCACTGAAAATTTGAATTCAGGAAAAATATTAATTCACGGTTGTATTGTTTATCTGTCGCCAGGGCTTTATTATCTGTCTGTCTGTCTGTCTATGGTCAGTATGAGAATGACGCAGTATTGGGGTGATCTCTCTCTCTCTCTAAATGCGTGTCGTGAGGTAGTGAGTGACAGGTAGAGAGAGGGACGAGAATCTACTTCACCTGTATGACAGTTCCTACCCGTATGGTGTTCACTCTACTGATGACTTAATTCTCTCTCTCTCACCATGTCCACCATACGGTAAAAGTTGCCAGCTCGTGTATTTTGTCCTATGCTGGGTGACGTCCCTATACACGCTTTAATAAATATGTAGATTTTTTTGCAATGTTTTCTGTGCTATCTTCTCTACCCTGGTAAAATGTTTAAGCCCTTTACCTCCTCCCCTCACCTCCTCTACCCCTCTCTCTCTCCACCCCTACACCCCCCCCTCCACCCACCTCCTGATCCCGTTCCCTCACCTCCCCTCTCCACCCCTACACCCCCCCTCCACCACCTCCTGATCCCGTTCCCCACTCCTCTCCTCACCACCCTTTCCAACCCACATCCCCTATACCTCCCCTCTTCTCCCCTTAACCCCTCACCCTTCACTCCCCTCATCCCCTGAATGGACAAAAAAATATATGAGCTGACTCCATTCGTTGGCATGGTAACATACACCCGAATATTAAGTACTAGAGAAATAGATAATAATACTAAGTAAATAGTAAGGTAAGGTTAGGTTAGGTAAGGTTAGGCTAGGTGAGGTTAGGTTAGATTAGGTAAGGTTAGGTTAGATTAGGTTAGGTAAGGTTAGGTTAGGTTAGGTTAGGTTAGGTTAGGTTAGGTTAGGTTAGGTTAGGTTAGGTAAGATTAGGTTAGGTTAGGTTAGGTTAGGTTAGGTTACGTTAGGTTAAGTTAGGTTAGATTAGGTTCCTACCACTACAACTATTATTACTACAACAAACAATAATAATAATAATAATAATAATAATAATAATAATAATAATAATAATATTAATAATAATATCATACACCAGCATAACCTTATCATCATTATTTTACCGCCTATATTATTACATTTCCAGCACCATTATCGTACATCATCATCATCATCATCATCATCATCATCATACATCATCGTTATCGTACATCATCATCATCATCATACATCAACATCATTATCGTACATCATCATCATCATCCATCAGCATCATCATCATCATCATACATCAACATCATTATCGTACATCATCATCATCATCCAGCATCATCATACATCCAGCACCATTATCGTACATCATCATCATCATCATCATCATCATCATCATACATCAACATCATTATCGTACATCATCATCATCATCATCATACATCAACATCATTATCGTACATCATCATCATCATCAGCATCATCATCATCATACATCAACATCATTATCGTACATCATCATCATCAGCATCATCATACATCAACATCATTATCGTACATCATCATCATCATCAGCATCATCATCATACATCAACGTCATTATAGTACATCATCATCATCATACATCAACGTCATTATCGTACATCATCATCATCATACATCAACATCATTATCGTACATCATCATCATACATCAACGTCATTGTCGTACATCATCAGCATCATCATACATCAACGTCATTATCGTATATCAGCATCATCATACATCAACGTCATTATCGTACATCATCATCATCATCATACATCAACATCATTATCGTACATCATCATCATCATACATCAACATCATTATCGTACATCATCATCATCATACATCAACATCATTATCGTACACAGCAACATCAGTTATTAGTAGGAATAATTATCGTACATCAGGTGAGATTTGTCCTTCAGGTAAATTAAAATAAAGGGGAGGACTTGTGTCTCTCTCATTACCGGGGAGGCAGATAACGATGGGACTGTGACAGGTGTGGTGATAATGGTGTCTCCTAGTGGTGCCCCATAGTGATGCCCCCTAGTGGTGCTCTCCAGTGGTGCCCCGTTGTGATGCTCCTTAGTGATGCCCCCTCGTGGTGCCCTGTTGTGGTGACTCCTAGTGGTGCTCTCCAGTGGTGCCCTGTTCTGGTGCCGCGTAGTGATGCCCCCTAGTAATGCCCTTTTGTGGTGCCCCCTAGTGATGCCCTGTTGTGGTGCTCCCTAGTGGTGCCCCAGAGATTTGCCCCGTAGCGGTGCTTATGATAAAATAGTAACGATGCATAACACCCATGATTGATAGACAGACAGACAGACAGACAGACAGACAGACAGACAGACAAGCAGGTAGACAAGTATACAGACTAACAAAAAGACAGAAAGAAAGACAGACAGACAGACAGAGAAGCCATGAAATAAGAATCCATCCATTGATCTGAAAAAAAAAGACATTTAAAGACGACAATGTATAAAAAAAACACGTGGGAAAGAAGAGATAGAAGGAAAAAGAGAATGAGTAAGAGACAGAGGGTGAGTAAAGAAAATCGTCTTAATTCTGCACTTGTACATATTCTGTTAGAACAAAGGAACAAACAGAACACTCAGAACTTTAGCACAGAACACTCAGAACTTTAGCTCAGAACACAGGAAAAATCAGAACAGGAACGAGTGTTAGATTTTTCTTGGTGAGGGTCGATGGTCCGGACCTAAAATACTGGGGAGAAAATGGTCTGCTGAAGGACCACAAATTAAGTCTGGCCGAGACCTGACCGACACAGCTGGAGGCAACGACACACAACACAAGTACCTGGGCTCTCTCTCTCTCTCTCTCTCTCTCTCTCTCTCTCTCTCTCTCTCTCTCTCTCTCTCTCTCTCCTGTGTATATACAAGTGTGTGCGTGTTGTTGTTGTAATGGAGTTAGGTTTTCGACGGCCAGATTGTTTTAATCTTACATATTTTTACACTAGAGATCAATTTTCTAAGATTGTCGATCCAAACAGGTCATACAATTATCCTAGGAACCTGAAACAAAAGAAACAAAAGATGATCACCTCCTTTTGTTTACATCTATAAACTCCATAACCTTCCAGTTAGTGATCCGACGCCAGACAAAACACGATCGCCTTTTGCTTCTCGATCCTATATTTAGCCGGGAGTAGAAGGATCCAATCCCCTATAATGGTAGCAGCCTCTTAATGAGCAGCTCATCAGGTGCAGATATTTCCCAGATGCCGGTGGGATGGTGTGGGATGGGTGGGATGGTGTGGGATGGTGTGGGATGGGTAGGATGGGTAGTGGGAGGGAAAGGGGAATGAGCACGTCGAAATAAGGGTAGAACCTGGCGTGTTGATTATGGGAAGGTTAGCAAGAGTTTACTATATTTAATTTTAATATTCGATAATAATAATATTTTGTATTGTTTTCACTCTTTAACGTTTTTTACCATCAGAATGAAGAGTGACAAACAAAAACACACACACACACACACACACATTCTCTCTCTGTCTCTCTCTCTCTCTTTTCTCTCTCTGTCTCTCTCTATCTATTTGTTAATGTATGAGACAGGCAGAACTAGATAGCTCTGAAAAATACTCACTTACTCATGAATGAAATTACCATTACTGTTATATATATGAATAGTTCTGTCAGCTATAAATTTGAGAGTGTGCATGTGAAATGTTAATAGTTAAATAATTATCAGTCTGTCTAAAATGTCACTATCCATACAGGAAATATCGGTTAACCTAACCTAACCTAACCTAATCTAGCCTAACCTAATCTAGCCTAGCCTAATCTAGCCTAGCCTAACCTAACTTAACCTAGTCTAGTCTAACCTAACCTAACCTAACCTAACCTAACCAAATTTAACCTAACCAAATTTAACCTAACCAAATCTATCTAAACTAACCAACTAACATATTCAAACCATGAATTTGACAGACAGACAGACAGACAGACTCTATACATATGATTTGTGTACTGTTTGCCAATTACCAGAGCCAGATCGCGTATGCCAATTTTACTCATAATTGGGTAAAAAAAGTGAGAAAAATGGTGAAAATATTAAAGTTTTTGTGGTAGTATTGTGTGACGGAGCAATTTGTGTTTATGTATGCGTGCGAGAGTGTGTTGTAGGGGTGTTGTGTGAGAGAGAGAGAAGAAGCAAGAGAGAAAAATGGGAACAAGAAGGAAGAAAAATAAAACAACAGGCAAGAGAGAGAGAGAGAGAGACAAATAAAAAATAGTAACAAAGACAAACAGACAGAAAGAGAAAAGAGGCAAAAAGGAAAGAAATATCAAAAAGGCAATTAAATCTCTCGACTGTTAAAAAAAGCCATAAAAAACAAAAAAAACAAATAAAAAGAAAAACAAACACAAACAAACGACTACATTAAATCATGCATAAAAATTCCCTCGAGTGTCAAAAAACATCATCCATTAGTCAGGTCAGAAAAGGCGAGAATTGAATTGACATGACCTTGCTAAAATTCCATAAAAAGTCTTAAAATTACCTAACTGCAAAATTTTAGGGAAAAATATATTAGTATTTCTAGATGCGACATATATCAGTTAGGGGAAATATTTGAACACTGAAAAGCTACTTCATCTATTGGTGGATGTTGTTAAATAGCCTCAGTTGTTGATGGCCAATAAGAATCCACCTATCAAAAGTGATTAATTTGATTGGCTCGGTGACTGGTAGGTAATGTGACGTGACCAATCCACGATCAGTAATTCTGTCGCTCGTTAAGATGGCGGGGAGGAATGTTGGTCAACCTGGGGAGAATGTGACGGGGGAGACATCCTGGGGAGATTGTGACGGGGAGCACCGTGGGGAGAGACTATTCCGTGTGAGGTGTTGGTAGTAAAATAAAATTGGAAAACAAGTAGACCTCTGGATAATTACCGTTGTTAATGACCCATGAGCGATGTGTGAAATTAACGTAGGAGTCATTAGTAGCTTCTAATTACCCAAAATTCTATTTTTTGGGAGAATGTATCGTAAACCAGGTGGTGTAAGACTATCTGCAATGAAATTTATATATATATATATATATATATATATATATATATATATATATATATATATATATATATATATATGGGTGTATGTGTGTAATAGTAATAATAATAATAATAATAATAAACGGTTTATTAATAGAGTTGCAGCCAGTGGCTGAAAATACAGACTTACATTTGATTTAGACATGATGATATACTATGCGTTGAATACATTTACAGGGCTGTACAGTACATAAATCAGGAGTTGTTTATTATTTTAACAATAGATGGGATGGTGCTATTCTTATATCTATCGGTGCAGGCTCTTATGGGCTGAATTTTGTTATAGTGGCGAACTGCGCGAGGTGGGTGAGGGGCTGCCGGTGGCAGGAGGTGGCGATGACGAGGGTGGTGCATTAGTTGGCTGCCAAACCTTTCCAGTGCTTGGTGGTGGTCACTGAGGGATGGCATTTCCAGGGTGGAGAGAGCGTTGATGTAGCCGGAGTATTCTGCGCCGAGCATGATTCTGCAGGCCCTTTTCTGTACCTTCTCTAGCCGACGTTGTTGGGTGGAGTTGAGAGAAGACGACCAGGCTGGTGATGCATACGTTAGTTTGGGGAGAATAAAATTTGTAGATAGTCCTCAGCTGTTGCGTGGGTGTCCCAAGTGACCTAAGTCGTCGTAGCATGTAGAGACGGTACGAGGCTGCCTTGACTGTGTTATTTACATGGGCCTTCCAGTCCACTTTGTTGTCTATCGTTACACCCAAGAGTTTGGCAGACTGCACCAGCTGGTGAGGATGGGCACCCACTGTGACTACTGGGGCTTGCACTGGAGTGGTGGCGGTATTGATGTGCTTGACTACGGTTTTGGTGTGGTTGATGGTGACCTTGTTCTCCGTACTCCATGCCTGTAGCCTGTCCAGGGTGCCTTGTAGCGATGAGTAGTCTGGTGCGGTGTTGTCCACTGAAACCCCCACAGTGCAGTCATCCACGTACTTCCACCTGTGAGGAGTGTCCGATAGAGCGTCGTTGATCAGGATGAGGAAGCACAGTGGTCCCACAGTGTGTGTGTTCGCCCTTTTCATACATTATGCGAGGACATAAATAAAGGTATTATTGATCGTAAGAGCAGTGAGACTAAGAGAGAGAGAAAGAAGGAGAGAGAAAGGCGGATAGCGAGAGACAGAAAGGAAGAGGAGAGAACGATCCCTAAAATCCCTTAAGTACGAAGCCATCCCCTTGAGTATAATTAATTAGTTGAGAAAGATATCTTAACCTCTTGTGTACTATGACATAAACCTTTCATTACGAAGACCAATATTCTTGAATGTGATGACTCAGTATTCAAGGGGGGAGGGGGGGTTAAGTCATCGTATTTGGCTTAATTTCATCATACTCAAGGGGGCTAAGGCATTGTGCTCACAGAGTTAAATCATCATAATCAAACAGTTAAACTACTGTACTTGGTTCGATCCTATCCCTACTTACATACATATACAAATACAGCTTTGTATAGACAATCGTACACACACACCTACCTAGACATACACACGAAGGAACATACATACATAAGAACACACGTACCTCAATATGTTTTTTGTATGGTAGAGTTCCTCCTGTATCAGCATACATCATCACGCTCACAAATCGACCAATGTATCATGGCAGAGTCAGGTAATTATTAGTATCATTAAGGATAGGTAAT